TTAACAAAGGCTTCTGTTATTTTTTAGAGTTTCTGAAAAACTGGTTTTCTAGAAATCCGGTCTCAGGAGGGTTATGGGCCGAAACGATTGCCATATTCGGATTCAGTGCACTTGATTACCTATTGTCCACTACCTTACGGCTCAAAAGCGATTTATCAGTTGGTGTCCTTCCCTCGTAAGTATTCTTAGCTTTATCTTATGTCTGGAGATCATGAAAAACATACTGTTTTACGCTGCAAAGACTGGTATCATATGACATTTTTCAAAACATTATTATTTTCACTTTTAAAAAGCTCGGAAATACTTCATCTATATGCAGTGCAAAAAATTGCTGCTAGTGCTTCATAAGGCGCGTGTAATTCAAAGATTCCGTGGCCTCTTAGATTTCTTTTAAACACGCATATTCTGATTCGGCGGAGTCTGTTGATCACGAATATGACCTTATTTTTCCGGTTTGATCGAGTTTTCATGCAGAAAATCTCAAAATACTGTGAAGACGTCAAAAACCTCGAAAAACCGAATTTTCAGAAAAATCACGATTATCTCCTGATCTTTTCATTTTTCGATCTCACCGATGCCAGCATCGCGAAGCATATCTAGGCACTAGTCGTTCGATGACTTTTCTTCAAGACTTAAACTCTTGTAGCTGATCAAACACTGATCGCTTGAACCTTGAGGTTCTCACCGCACAATACTATCTAGTTTTTTACCATGAGAGCTAGAGACTTCTTTCATACGCCAGAAGATTTGCCTTGTCTTGCTCCACAAAAGTATGCGTCGTTTTTTTCAAAACGTTTTTCCTTTTAGGAGAAATTAGGAAAAGACTGAAAAACTGTGGGTTTTTCGAAAAGCCCATAACTCAGTGATGTTTCCACCTAGAGAACTGCAATTATGGTTTTCTAGGGAAAAAGCAACGCTGAATACGTTACAAATGTGTTTGAGAGGTTCGGAGTTTTCCAAGTAGGTTTTGCAATCAACAGAACTCTGAGAAACCTTCAAGAGCCTTTTGGAAATCGTTTTCGTCCCAAGCACATCGTATCCACAGAGCGTCAAATTCTGAGCATTCAGATGCGATGCCTCGCGAGGATAATGGGATTCCGAAGGTTTACTGACAGATTTCCAGAGAGTCGGTTTTCCAGTAAACCTTGTCATTACTCTGTGACCCTTCATGAGGCATCGCATCTGAATACACATCGAGAAGTCAAGTCACAACATCTAAGAAGTCACGGAATCTTTGAATTACGCGTGCCTTACTGCACTGCTGTTTTTAGCACTAGCGGTTGACAAAGATGAGATCACACTGAGCCATACGGTAAAAATTGGCTTCTGGAATAAACCTCATTAAAAATTGATTCAAAGTACCTTCAGATGTGAAAAAAATACAATATTTTAACTGCTTTACATGATCTTGTGGTTCAAAATTTGAAAAATCTATTTACATTTCTGAACTTTTTCAAAAACAAACGTTTAAGTCGACAATGCTTCTTTGAATTTGGTATACTGCTGGTTTTCTGAATATTCCAGAGAGTCGGTTTTCCAGTAAACCTTGTCATTACTCTGTGACCCTTCATGAGGCATCGCATCTGAATACACATCGAGAAGTCAATCTATACTGCTGGTTTTCTGAATATTCAACCGACTTCTACTAAGATATCTAGATGAGATTAAAAATAAAATTCTTCATCAACTGGCGAAGTTGTGCACAAATTCGATATACTTCGCAGTGTCAACGTTTCTAAAATATTCCTCTTCGAATGTGGTCGTGCGTAAAGGATCAATTTTTATTGACATTGACCTCTGTTTCTGTTCACGCCTGTCTTTTCGTCTGTAACGTGAGATTTTTCTCTGACTGAAATTTTTGTACTTGCTGACCATGAATTTTGTTTTCTAACTTGAACAAGTAAGCCGTGAGGATGACGATATATTTAGTGTATTTGTTTTTATGCATTGGAGAGAATAAGAGAGGAGAGAGAGAGAGAGCGAGAGAGATAGAAGATTCGCTTGGTTAATCTGGCGTATTTTAAGCGAGTTCGTAGAGTTAGTATGAATTTGTATTTTCTTCGAAGTTATATTGAATGTATCGGTCATTGACAAACAAAAGACAATTGAAAGTACAAATCATGGCTCTACAGTGAGTTGAAAGCGTTTTTTTTCTACGGGATAAATACAATGTTGGCCGTTTAGAAAGAGGAATAATATTCAAACTTTGACTGCTATCTTCTTTAGGCAATACAGAAAAATTGTTGTTACAGTGAAGCTTTTTTGCCGAATATCTATATACTAGGAAAAAATGATCGGTTTTTCTCTGTCTAACACAGAATGTGGTTTGTAAGAATTCCTTGTTCCTCTTTTCATTTCCCATATGATGATCCTTGAGATGTGTGAGTAATATAACTGGATTATAAACAGGACCGTTATGCTGTAGAGATTTATTCTTACTTTGTTATTATGGTTTTAGCGCCTATTTTTGTTTGCTCTTAACAAGACAATCTGAGTTTTCTTATTTTTTTCTAGGTATAGCTCTTAGCCGACATTAGAAAATAGAAACTGATGAGTTGACATTAATCATGGTGTTTGTATTAGTAACTGCTTCCTATGTCGGTCGATTCGGTACGGTCATCGCTAAAGCAATTTTTTAGTATCACCTTTTGTTATAAATTTTCACATACTGAACTCGATTTCGAACCTATAGTTTTTCTCGAACATACTGTACAAAATATAATGTTGCCTATTTTTCTTGTCAAATAAAAAACTTCTTGTAGTATGTGTTTTATATTACTTTCATATTTCTATTCATTCCAAATTCAAAAAATTTCGTTGTTTTATTCCACCTGACTAGCAAAGAATTTATTCTTACTGTGAAGCTCGACGCTGCTCAACAATCTTTATTATTATTTGTTTGTGTTTTAACCATAATAGATAAAAGATAAATTCAGGATTTGATTTGAGCAGCTGAACGGGTTTTAAATTCAGGAGCGATGTGTACGAAAACTTCATCGACGCCATTCAAAATGGCCCTCTGCAGAACCAAGTCTGTAGATTTGATCGGAAAGTTAAGTCTAATAGAGCAAACCTTTTTAGACAAAATTGTACATCTTCGAGATCTTCATGGCATTTTTTCGTCAAACGACATTTACTTTACAAAAAACTTGAGAGTAAAAAACCAGTACCATCGATAGGACAACCACAAAACGGACGGCCAGGAAACTTTTGTAAATTAAATGTTGTTTGATGAAACAATGGCATGGCCCGAAGATTTACCATTTTGGCCAAAGGGCCAATGTTTCTTAACTATTTTCATATTTGAGAATACGAATTAAATCGAACTACATATTACTTTGAGATGAAAGAAAGTTGCTTATTGAGTCTTCCTTATATCCGCATTCTGATGACGCCTTCTTTTATTCTCTTAAAAGAATTTGTCTGTTTCCCATGCCATAAAGTCAATAATCATCCCATTTTAATTTTTGCCTTAAAACGATTTCACAATTAGTAGAAAAGACTTTCAGCAATTTCACGCACCTTTTCGTTACTACTATCCAAATAGTTTCTCGGTAATAGGACGTCAAGTGACCACCCCCTAAAGATTACGTATAGGATACATAAAAGTTGTTTTTCTCAAGTTTCTTCCATTTGGACGACTTCGTAGCTGTGTAATCCTTTTTTCTCCCAAACAACATTTTGAAACACCCTGAAATTTGCTACAAATTGGAACATATCCAGATTTTGTTTAGAGACAAACACTGTCACGAGATACAGAATACCTGATAATCTATGTTTAGATTCACTTTCGAGGTTATTTGAAATCATCAGTCCTAGGACTATCAGAAAAAATGATCCAAGCTAAAGTATCTGAGCCTACTTTTCAAGATATTTAAGAACTAGCTCAGTTTGTACTGAATTCGATGAGCTTTAAAAATAAAAACTAGAAGCATGTCACATTTTTCACTACTCGATTAACTTCACATTCACGTTAAGTGTCTGGCGCCACTGATCTTAAAATTCTGAACATGTTAGTTTGTAGCGAGCTTCACGAGATTCAAAATGATATATAACAGGAAAATGTATGTTTTCGTGTCTGAGAAGAAAAGGGCTACATAATCGAAGACTATCTACTATGTTGTGTGTTCTAGGATAATACCACTACCGTCAAGATATCAAGGTTAACTATTAATGTATATACATTTTGTAGAGAATTTCAAGGGTTATTAAATGATATATTTAATCAGTCGTCCAAGTGGAAGAAACGTGAGAAAAACAACTTTTACGTATTCTATATGTGACCTTTAAGGAGCGATCGTTTGGCGTCCTATTGGCGGAAAACTATTTGGATATTAGTAACAAAAGGTGCGCAAAATTGCTGAAAGTCTTTCTACTAGTTGCGCGCAACCGTTTTAAGACAAAATTTACAATAGGGATAATCATCAGCCTTGTGTGACGTCCTTATTTAGCCCTTCATACTAGGATACACATTCTGCTGATAAAAAAAATGTGGATTGAACTATATGAGTTAGCGTTGATATCGTTTTTCTTTTTAGTTGATAATGCGTAAGTTTTCTGAGTTAGCTCAGCGATTTTATAATAACATAAATGTGATGTCACTAAAACGACTTTTCTTTTTTTCCTATGGGTCAATTCCTATGCGAACAAGGCACAATAATAAACATCGATTTGTACGTCAATTTATTTATTTATCACCAAACACATAAACAGAGATAATAGCACTGATGTAATGATTTTGGATTTTATGATGAAGGTTTTATACGCTTATACTAAGTTGCTGCTATTTCAAAATCTAAATGTGCTGAGAAAATCGATTTATTCCTATAATAGCAGTCACTCTTGGAACATGATTAAAGTTGTCACCACTTGAAGTTGATAGTAATTGCTACATTATATATTTCATGTTATATAAACCAGAATCTGTCCACAAATATTGATCGAAAAGTTTTTGTTTTTATTAGCTGGTACAGTTTTTCCACATTTAAAACTACACTTAATTATGTTTTAGGCACTATAATATTCTATCAAGTTACCTATGTGAATAAGTTATCAAAACTATAGAATAACTTTTCACCGAATTACAATAGACAAAAAAATAGTATTTGCAAAATAGGTATCTAAAAATGTCTGAAAATAACAATAAGAAGGCTAAGGAGAACGGAGACAATCCTCAACATACCCAGATAGATATTCCTAATGGTGGTGTGAAAGCTATTACAGTCGAAGAATTATATGACAAAGAAAAATTTGATTTATCGACAATGGATTCTGGGGATGTTTTCAAACTACTCGAGTGAGTTTGTTATTTCGGATGTAAAAGTGTAGATCGATATAATATATATATATAATTACAGACAGACGAACATTTTTATCCTTTCAGAACGACGCGTGATGGTCTTAAAAGTGATGAAGTTGAAGAAAGACTTGAAAAAGTATATTTAGATCATTTTTCAACTCGTGTAATATTTTGTTTAATTTGAACTTTAGTTTGGTCATAATCGTTTGGAACACAAAGAACCAAATCCTATCATACAATTTTTATTATTTATGTGGAATCCATTATCATGGTGTGTTTTTAAAGGTGTCAGTTTTATTGTTATTAAAAATTTTCTTGATTTCAGGGTTATGGAAGCAGCTGCTCTAGTTGCTATCGTATTATCGAATGGGGGAGGGGAGCCGCCTGATTGGGAAGATTTTGTTGGCATTATTCTTCTTTTACTTGCCAATTCAATTATTGGATTTGTCGAACAACACAACGCTGGAAATGCAGTAAAATCATTGATGGACTCATTAGCACCTGAAGCAAAAGTAAAAAGAGACGGAAAATGGACTTCGATCGATGCAGGTGATCTTGTACCCGGAGATATCATTAGTGTAAAATTAGGCGATATTATACCAGCAGATGGAAGGTTAATTGCAGCACATGGTAGTGTATCTATTGATCAAGCAGCGTTGACTGGAGAATCAGTAAGGCATGATCAGTATTATTTTATACATCGAGTAATTCGCTAATAATTTGTTCAATTCTTAGTTACCGGTTAGTAAAGAAACTGGTGATGAAATCTTCTCTGGTTCAACATGTAAACAAGGTGAAGCTGAGGCAATTGTTATTGGCACTGGAACAAACACATTTTTTGGACGTGCGGCAAAACTTGTCGGTGGTGCACATGATGAAATCGGCCATTTACAAACAATTTTAGCTAAAATTGGTAATTTTTGCATATGTGGCATAGCAATATTCATTGTAGCCGAAATACTTGTCATGTATGCCGGTTTTCGATACAGTTATCGTCGTGGTATCAACAATTTGCTTGTGTTACTCATCGGAGGAATACCTATAGCAATGTAATAAAACATGTGGTAGATATATCCTCCCTACGTATGTATATATTTAATTTAATTTTCTAGGCCTACTGTGTTGTCTGTGACGCTTGCTATTGGTGCTAAACAACTTTCTGAAAAAAAGGCAATTGTCACACATGTAACTGCAATTGAAGAACTAGCCGCTGTCACTATACTTTGTTCGGATAAAACTGGTACACTGACACTGAACAAATTGGTTATTGATAAAGAGACAATTAAGCAATATTCGGATGTCAGTGTAGAGGATATCATTCGATATGCGGCATACGCGTGCCGAACAGACAATCAAGATGCTATTGATATATGTGTAACAACAACATTGGTTGATCCAACAAAAACTCGTGATGGAATTGAAGAAATGTTTTTTAAACCATTCAATCCCACTGATAAACGTACGGAAATCACCTATAAACTATTGTCTGATGGAAGTGTACATCGTGTTTCAAAAGGCATGTCGCATACCATATTAGATTTATGTAAGCGAGATAAGACTGATGCTCAAATTAAACAATTAAACGATGATGTTGATGAATATGCGAAGAGAGGTTTGAGAGCGTTGGCAGTGGCCATTGATGATGTACCATCGGGACAAGCGGATGGTGAAGGTTTGGGATTTAAATTGATTGGACTGTTACCCATATATGATCCACCAAGGTCGGACACCAAGGAAACAATAGAACGAGCCATGCAATTAGGTTAATTATTGCTTACATTTCATCATAAATCATCATTATTGTTTAACTCTTTTATCTAGGTGTAAAAGTCAAAATGATTACCGGTGATCAACTGGCCATTGCAAAAGAAACAGGACGTCGTTTGGGTAGGATAGCATTCACTTTATTCAGGCAGACTCGTCCCATAAAGGCGATTTTGTAAATATTTAATATAAAAATGTGAAGGAGATCCATAGTATAAAACAAGACAGATTTGATGGAAAATTCATATTGAGAACAATTTCCATCACACGATTCTGTGTTTGTAGGCATGGGAGATAACATGTTTTTATCAAAAACGTTAAAAGATGGTCCACCACCAAAATCACCATTTAAAGACGTGGATGATCTCGTTTTGCATGCTGATGGTTTTGCTGGTGTATATCCCGAACATAAATATGAAATTGTTGAACGATTACAAAACATGGGCTTTATAATCGCCATGACCGGTGACGGGGTCAATGATGCACCAGCTCTATCAAAAGCAAATGTTGGTGTGGCTGTTGCGGATGCGAGCGACGCAGCGAGATCAGCGGCTGATATTGTTTTGACCGAACCAGGTAAATCATTTTGATTATCAATCTTTTCTAGATCAATTGCATCCTGGTTTGTTCCTAGGTTTAAGTGTTATTATTGATGCCATACTCGGTTCAAGACAAATCTTTCAGCGTATGAGAAATTATGCTATTTATACGTGTTCTATTACAATTCGTATTCTGGTCGGATTTTCGATACTCATATTCGCATTTAAATATGACTTTCCAGCATTTATGGTAAGTATGAAGTCAACATTGAGATTTTTAAATATATCACCGATGGGTGTCTGGTGATATTGATGATTTCTTATGTTATTTCATTTAGATTCTTATCTTAGCAATATTAAATGATGGTACTATAATGACAATCTCAAAAGATCATGTTAACCCATCACCATATCCAAATAGTTGGAATTTATTTGAAATATTCACGTATGCTATCGTATATGGAATTTATTTGGCCGCATCGACCATTGTCTTCTTTGCTGTTATTGTTAAGACGGATTTTTTTCAGCATAAATTTCATGTAAGATCATTCCAACAAGACGAACGCGATGGCAGTTATAATGATCCAATATTAAATTCAATTGTTTATCTTCAAGTTTCAACAATTAGTCAAGCATTAATATTCATAACACGCTCACGAGGATTATTTTTTACTGAACGCCCATCTATCATACTTGTTAGTGCATGTATAATGGCACAAATGGTGGCCACCTTCATTGCAGTTTATGCTAATTGGTCTTTTACAGATATTAAAGGCTGTGGATGGTCTTGGGCAGGCAAGTTTTGACTCTTCATTTTCTATAAAACTTTTATCATTCGGTTTTTCTAGCTATTGTTTGGATTTGGAATATAATTTGGTTTTTTCCGCTCGATGCTGTTAAGTTTGCATTGCGTGCTTATTTCGATCCGTTACAAAAACGAGCAATAGAAGAACTAAGTGAACCATCGACAGACGAACAACGTCAGAGAAGAAGTATTAGTTCTGGCCCTCCCTCGAGACGTTCAACAATGGCGACTGCAGAAGGACAACGACGACGTGATACACTAGCATCTGGAAACAAATATTATGCTGCACATACCCGTGTATTGTCTACCAAACGCCATCATAGAAATTTTGGTAAAACATTGAATTTAGGCGATGCGTCACGTGTTAATCTCAATAAGGATGAATTAAGACGATTCTCGGTAGTCCAGGTATGTCAGAAAACTTGTTGTTAGCTTTTTGAAAAACTTATCGTATCCAGTAAAAAGACTGGCAATCTGTACCGACTTCATCACGCACAAGAAAACATGCAGAAGTGTGCGGAAATGACTTAAAAATGAATGTTCGGTTTATGCATGCACTGATTAATCGAACATCGATTATTCGATTTTTAATAGTTCGGCCGCTACAGTTTTTGGTAGAGAATTCTTCAATCGAGACAAAAACTGATGTGACAAAATTTTTTCCCTTTTAGGCACTTCATACATCGAAACTTCTCAGTGCAGGATTAAAGAACAGAAGAACGACTACTGTTCTGTAGTATGTATTCCCTGTATCCTCTGTCTTATGTATATTCTATGTTTGGGTTATTTAAAGTTTTCCACTTAATTTTGATGTGTACTTTTGTTACTGTGTTATTTTCTACTAGTTGACGCTCTGTTCTGTTTTAAAATATTTGCAATTTTTATAATGTATTATTGAATCAATAAACAAACAACAAATACGAGATTATCCTATACAAACTCTTATAATAAAGTAAACAAATAATTGCCTCTTTATTATTGTTTACTTTTCCACACAATTGTATCAATAGAGTGATAAAACTACTCGTTTTACATTTCATTGAAAAAGAATAATCATACAAAGTATTTATCACATTAATAGTAAACGTGTGAAATCACAAATGATGTTTGAACAATAATATTTTTGTAAAAGAGGAAGAGAGCGAAGATATATTCGACAGAATCAATAGCAGATTGCGTGTTCGCTTGAAAAACATGAGACTGAGAGATTGAATCATACAGTAAAATGAAGCGTCGTGTTTTTGTCTTCGCTCATGTTTAAATTCAGTAAAGTATGAATAATGTAACGTTGTAAGGTTACTATGGCATGTGTGATCACTCGTATAAAATGAGAAGAATTGTTTAATTATGTAACTTTCGTAAACGTGTAATCTTCTGCTCGACTATACTTTGCTTTCGCGTAACTGTGTACACGTATTGAACTATTTTTTCCTTCATGTATCAAGCTGAGTAGACAAAATCTTGCGAGACATCTTTGTAGAAACTCTCGAAGCCTTTTTTTTCTACTCTCTATACCAGCATCGTCATCTGACAGCACTAAAAATGTATAATATCCATGTTGGAGTATAATATAAGCAAGTATTTATCTTTTGAAGTTGTGATATTTTATTTGACATTTAGAATGACTTTCACAATACTGTATTCAAAGTCGTCTACACAAGTTTTTTTTATGCATCAGGGAAGTCAATAAATAAAGTGAAAAATGTTCGTTCTACTTAATTTATATTTTTGAATGAGATAACTGTTAAGGACCCCCCTCGGATCACAAACCTATCTCAGTCTAGGTAGGTCTGATCTGAACCAAACTTTCAGGGAATGTTGACCATGTCAAAGTGTGGTAACGAAGTTTTTTAACGAAGTTACCTATGTGAATAAGTTATCAAAACTATAGAATAACTTTTCACCGAATTACAATAGACAAAAAAATAGTATTTGCAAAATAGGTATCTAAAAATGTCTGAAAATAACAATAAGAAGGCTAAG